GTATGTGTTGTGGTTTTATTGTGTGTGTATTGGTTGTGTATAGTGTGTGTATGTGTGTGTAGTTAATGTGTGTGTATATTGTTGTGTATGTGTTGTATGGTATGCGTATGTGTGTATGTGTTATGTGTGTGTGTGTGTGTGTGTGTGTGTGTGTGTTGTTGTTTGTGTGTGTGTGTTGGTGTTGGGGTGTTTGGGGTGGTGTTTTTGGGGGGGGTGAGCCAATGTAGACAAGTTGGGCATCGCCCAATAAAAGGGAATCGACCCGGGAGCTAGATAATGACATCTCTCCTCTCAGTCACCACCGCCTCTCTCACACACCCCACCCACAGCTCTCACATTACACTCCTGTGGTAGTTTGCTTGCTCTCTCTCTCTCTCTCTCTCTCTCTCTCTCTCTCTCTCTCTCTCTCTCTCTCTCTCTCTCTCCCTTCAGGACAAGAAGTCAGGTCAATTTCTACACGCATCTTTATTTGTGCTCCGTTCTCTTTTCCTCAGTGGAGAAAATGATCTCTTTAAAGCCTGAACTACTCACCAAGGGATGACAGACACAGTGAATCAGCGTATACAACCCTGTCTGGCACTACCTGGTCTGGGACCGACAGAGGGGGCGGTGACTCCCCCTTCCCCGGAAATCGACTCCAGGAAACCCACCAGTGATGCTCACGAAGAATTGAACGTTGTCTGGTTACGTTCAAGGCCACCTTGTCAGTTGCATCGCGGACGTTGTTTTAAATCTGCTTATTTGTTGATAAATATACGTTTGTATACCATAATATAAACCAGCTTCAGCTCGCCTAACCCAGCTTAACCTTATCTAACCTAAAATAAATAACATTTGTTGACTTACAAGCAACGTTAAAGAAAAGTGAAGCTGGAAGAGAAAATTAACGATAAGTGGAAATTATAAATAATACAGTGTACTCCAATACGTATGTTCTGTACTAACCTCTTACGCATCCTATCACACCCATTTAAAGGTGATAGGTATATACATATACGCTTTCACACACTGCTGAAGTTATGCGAGTAAGCCAAGCTGAAGCTGATACCGGGAAAAGCATGTCAAATATGGTGTGTGAGGGAAAAGTTTATTAAATAGAAGTGGAAGACTGAATGAGTGGTTGAGGTAGTACCTGGAGTCTACCTGGAGGTTATTCCGGGGATCAATGCCCCCGCGACCCGGTCCACGACCAGGCCTCCCGGTGAATCAGGGCCTGATCAACCAGGCTGTTACTGCTGGCCGCACGCAGTCCAACGTACGAGCCACAGCCCGGCTGATCCGGCACTGACTTTAGGTATCTGTCCAGCTCTCTCTTGAAGGCAGCCAGGGGTTTATTGGCAATTCCCCTAATGCTTGATGGGAGGCTGTTGAACAGTCTTGGGCCCCGGACACTTATGGTGTTTTCCTTTAGTGTACCAATGGCGCCCCTACTTTTTAATTGGGGGCATTTTGCATCGCCTGCCCATTCTTTTACTTTCGTAGGGAGTGATTTCTGTGTGCAGATTCGGGACCATTCCTTCCAGGATTTTCCAAGTGTAGATTATGATATATCTCTCCCTCCTGCGTTCCAACGAGTACAAGTCAAGTGCTTCCAAGCGTTCCCAGTAGTTAAGGTGCTTGACAGAACTTATACGTGCAGTAAAGGATCTCTGTACACTCTCTAGATCTGCGATTTGACCTGCTTTGAACGATAGTATAACTGTTCAGAAAGGGGTATGTGAGCAGTTACTTTACCTTCCCCCCTTCTCCACCTGGTAGGAGTCAATAAGGGACCCTTGCTGAGGGAGGAGGTCATTTGCCTTCTTGCTCTCATCAAGTCTGTAAGTATTCAACTCTACTCTTGATTAGTTGTTTCATATTTAGTTTTTTTTTATTAATTTAATAGAGAAAAGAGTTATACTCTTGTTAGGATTTTTAACTTTTGTCCGGACTTGGTCATATTTACATTTACAATGTAATATTTAGTCATTACCATATCTTTTAAAGGCTTTTCAGCCTATCAAGTGAATGACTGTCTAGTTCGTAATTTCCTTTTTTCTTCTCAGCCTTGCTAGATGTATGGTTCTAGTCACCGGACAGATGCTAGACGAGAAGAGCAGCAAGATCTGATAATAAATCAAACTTTATTTCGTCATCTTGGAAACTGTTTTTTCGACGATCTCGTCAAAGGCCTCTTCTTGGGAACTGCTTTTCCTATACCACCAAAACAAAACTGTTTCAATAACCTCCTAGAACTGAGGAACTTGGCCTATTCCTTATACCTCTGTTGGTGATTTCCAGTTTTCTACCCCGTACCTGCAGCCAACTCTGTTGGCTGAGCTGCTAGATGCGCACCATAACATTATAACCACCTCACTACATCTCTAGCGTCCCATTACACTCCAGCTGTCCCTATGCGCCTTCCCATACTGACGGTGGACTCGGAAAAACACCTATATATGGCTTCATTTGATTTAGCAAAATTTTCAATCATTTGCTTCAGTTAGGGCGAATTCATGTTAATTTTTTTTTACGGTATTTGCTTGTATTCAATAAATTTTTTTTTCTCCATGAGGGTCTTCTTTCAAAAGCTTTGAGGGTCTGAAGGGCCTTTACACCTTCACAAGTTGGGAAGGAAGGTGAAAAGCAGGGCTGCCGTGAACACAAAATAAGCATTATATCAACATCCGTGGTCCCAGACTATAACATCTCATCAAAAGATATCAAACTGCCAGAACAGATCTAAAGTCTTCCAGAGGAAGACTTTACACCTGTACCTCCAGAGTGCCAGATTAACCAGGCTGTGATGTACGAAGGCCAGCGAGCCGCCAGCAAGAACCTGGTTGACAAGGGAAGCACTAAACAAGCCTAGTACAGGGCCGGGCTGCGTAAGCAGAACTGATGAAACCCGGGATTACGAGTATGATACCCCCAGGCCCACTCCTTGACGCGGTATTAACGAGCTGCCTCTGTAAACAAGCCTCCAGCACCCAGATTACCTCCAAGTTTTGCCATAAGTCAGCCTTCATTCCTAGAGTCAACCGCAAGTGCCAGTAAACACAGGCAACTTAATTAACCCCAAGATATCTGAAGTAATTAAAAAAGGTTCTTGGTAATCCACTTTGATCTTCGCGTATTAATATACAATCTGTCTACATGTTAGGCAGCTGCTGGGGATCACCGCCCCCGCCGCCAGGTCAGTGTTCGCTGCACGCAAGTCAACCTAATGCATCACAGCCATGGTTGATCAGGAATACATTGCGAAACCCTGTCACGATCTTCTTCGATGACAGTTAAGTCTGTTAGCAAGCCTCTTTATATCTGAAGGCAGACTAGTGAAAAGCCTCGCACTCTTTACTTAGTGTTACGCCACACTTCCTCAGAGGCAAAAAAAAAAAAAATATTTCCTCACTCACTGGTCCGTAAGTTGGACTACGTGCAGTCAGCCGTAACAGCCTCGTTGATCAAGCCCTGATCCACCAGGAGGCCTGGTCATGGACCGGGCCGCGGGGGTGTTGATCCCCGGAATACCCTCCAGGTAGGTAGACTCGTTTACCCTACGCTGAGGCAGAAAGTTCTCACTGAGAGTAAATCTCTCTCCCCCAGTCGCCCCGCGGGGAAAGCAGTTGCAAAGGAGGACAAAAGAGGCGCCAGCCACTCTCGGGGCTCCTCCCTCCACCCATCGTGGGTCCTACAGAACAGAGCACTTTGTCCAAGATAATCAGTATATGTATAACACAACGACACTCTGGAAGGCAGGGCTTATCAAATATCACGTCAGCGTATACGGCATGCTCACCCAGACCACTGAGTCCAGCAGTGGTCGCTGTTACCATGACCCGCCATAGGGCCATCACCTACCCAAATTCACACATTAGATACACTGTGCGGAAAGATACGTTTCGCCACGAATGGCTTCTTCAGTCCTCATGAAACCACATGTTGGGAAACTTTTCCTAAAGAGTCCTGAATTGTACAAGTCCTTTTTTTTCCCCACATCTTGTCGGTATCACCGTACCATTTTAGGATGGTCAACATATGAGATAAATTAGAGGGTCAAAGCAAACTCTATACACAGTATCAAGAGTACCTTTGGTCTCAACTCTGCGAGTACTGCTGACGGAGCGGACTTAACACGTGGCTGGGTTGTAAAGGTGACCTGTTGTAGTGAGGCTTTCCACTCAGACCAGTGTGTCCAGCACGGGGAAGCCAGAGTGGCGGCTGCTGCTGCCTCGCCCCCACCAGTAACACTGGCTACCTAATCTTCACGTGCTCTTGGACACACCGTCCTGGCCTCTGGCATAAATTAATGTAACGCAGCTTTGCCTTTCCCAACTTGTCCAGCCTGCAAATGGTTGTTGTAGGCTGGCGCATGCACTATTAAGCATTACACAAATAACCTGCACATAGGAGAAACCTTATGCAGACGTTTCGGTCCGCTTTGGCCCACTGACTACTCACACCGTTAGGCATATATCTCCACTGCTGTATATTATGTATGTGGGAGTCTTTATATATTATGTAATCCAAATTTCTCTTCATTCCCCGCCACTCTCTCCTATGTACCCCTCTGTGATTACAGATATATCTTCATACAAACTCCATTTCTCCTGCGTATGAGATAGACCAACCTAAGAGATGGTAATTCGCAAGTAAAATTAACCCCAGCTTTACTGGATAGACACCTTTGAAGCTTCCGTAGCTAATGAACCTTTAATGGCCCAAGGCCGGGGCTTTGGGAGTAGACAAACTCTGAACTCGTCAAAGGTATACTTGCCAGATTCCAACAGTGTATGTAACACATCCTGCATGGTGGAATATGGGAGGGGAACAGCTAGCTTTCATTCCCACTGTGTAACTATCATTTAGCATAGGACAGCAACACAGTGTTGATGTAGGCAATGTTGATAGTGAAAAAGGAACAGTCTTGCCCGCCGCAGCGCCGACACCTGCATACACCACTATGAAATTTATTACCTTGACCAATAAACCAACCCCAGTGCATAGATACGTGTCCTTACCTGTCCTTGGGCGGCTCCATGTCCACCTCAAAGGTCTCAAAGGTGTTGACATTCTTGAAGTTGAGTTCTTCCTTGGGCAGGTTAGTGTTCTCCCACGACGGTGTTAGACGTACAGGCTCTACACCTCCCAGGAAGAGCTCCTTCTCCCCCGCTCCTTCAC